GCTTCTGTCAGTCTGCCCCAGGGCAGCTGTGGCTACAACCGTAGCTGCCTCCACCAGTGTGTGAATGTGAGAGTGAATGAATAGTGGCATTGTAAAGCGCTTTGGGTGCCTTGAAAAGCGCTATATCAATCCAATCCATTATTATTATTTCAAGATCACTGGTAATATCTTCAGTGGTTCTTTCTTAGTAAAAAGATAAGGAAACAGCTTCTCAGTGAAATTGTGTTCGAAGGTGTGCATGAGTGTGTTGGCATCCAGATCAAAGAATGAGAGCTTCCCACTGTCATACTCCAGCTGAACTCTGACCCTCTGAAGCTTCTTTACTGACAAGTATTTATATATATCTGGTGCTGTTCCTACTATGTATTTTTCATCCTGGAAACTTAATTGCCAGACACCTGTCAGTGCTTCTACTTTTCTCTCAAAAGACTCATTTACAACACCAAAGGCCCAAAATCCCTCTTCTCCGACCTCAACATCCCAAATGTGAATCCCTGAGTCGAAGCCCTCAGAGCCCAGAACAATTTCACAACAGTGACACCTCTCTGGATTATCAGGAACCTTCTGTCTCCCTCCAAATGTCACACTGGTCAGATCGTCAGAAATGATGAGTTGTGGATGAGCTGTGTTTGGATCCAGAATCACAGGAGTGTAGAAGACCATCTCCTTCATGTTATTCCAGATGTTGTAGGTCAGGTTGCCCAGGTGTTTGGCCACATCTATCAGGGCTCCTGAGACCAGCCGTGGAGCATTCAGCAGGGGGCGCTGCTTGACTCTGTTGACTGCAGCCCTGTAGTTGTGGAGGAATGAGACGTCTTCAGCTCTCAGTTGCTCCTCTGTGGCTCTGATTGTTTCTGAAAGAGTTTTTATCCCTCTACTCAGAGACTCAATCTTCTCCTCCATTTTTCTTAACTTCTGCTCTTCTTCCTGCCTCAGAGCAGCCAGCCTGGCCTCCTCTTCATTTTGTAGAAACTGCAGAAGCTTTTTAAACTCCTCCTTTATCTGCTTCTCCGTCTGCTGTGCCTGGACCTTTATATGTTCTGCTGTTTGATCAAACTTTCCTTTGACTTGTTCAAACACCTTCAGTTTATCTTGTAAGGGCTTCAGGTGTTTCTGAAGCTCCTCTCTGTGATCCTGGGCGGCTTCTTCAGTTGGATTGAATCTGTGGTCTTTGTGTGCTTTTGAATCTCGACAGATGACACACACCGGCTGCTGATGATCCAAACAGAAAAGTTTGAGTTTCTCATTGTGCAGACTGCAGAGAGCCTCAGACCCTGCAGAAGGTTTTTTATCTCTCTGCAGTAAGAAAGCCTCACACAGGTTCTTTAACGCCAAGTTACGGGGCGGATCATTCAGTAAAGGAATCTTTTTACAAAGTGGACAGTTGTGTTCTAGATTCTTGCTCCACCACAGCTGCAGACAGAATCGACAGAAGCTGTGGCTGCATGACAGGATGACAGGATCTCTATAGATGTCATGGCAGACGGGACAGGAGAGATCCTTTTCCGACTGAGAAGACATTTTGTCCTTGAGTAACAACAATGAAAACAATGAGGCGTCCACTCAAGAAGTTTCTTCAAACTTACTTTCACTTTTAGCTGTGACTTTTGTAAAACTTCTGTTTGTAACATGGAATCAGCAGCATCGTGTTGAAGTGTCAGTATCCTGATATTCTCTGCAAGACGAGGACCAGGTTGTCTTTATTACTTTTATTTGATTCTGCAATGGGGTCAAAGAGCAGTACAGAACACTCAAGTCAACAACTCAACACAAAACTGCATGTTTTACAAAGAGTATTTATAAAGATATTTATAATATGCATATAATGTATTTATAAAGATATGTTTTCTGCTATGACAATGATGATGAAGCCATTTATTTGTCACTTGCAGTTG